TGACCTCACCCGGCCCCTTTAGAGGGGGGAAAAGAAAAAATAATCCGATGTGGACAAAGTGGTGCGGGCGTAGAGCGTCTTCAGTGCTGGCGCTTGAAGCTGATCAGTTGAGTGTGTTTTACAGATGGTGTTTTACACCCGCTGGGTGGATGTCCTGGCCAGGAGAGCTCACGTGCTGCGAAGCCGAATCTTTTAATCCGGCCTTCGCCCGCAAAGGAGGATCTCCATGCGTTAAATGGCTGGTTTAAGTCAGAGTTTCTAGAATCAGATTGTGATTACTGTTTCCTTAAAAAAACAAACAAAAAAAACCTATATTAAGACTTACTTCTCTGCCTCAAGTAGCAGTGTAAAAAGATTCCAGCTCTTGTCCAAGCTCTGCAGCCACCATAAGCGCAAGGTGGATAATCGCATCAGTGAGCAGTCGCAGGGGAGAGGGGAGGTTTTTTTCCTTAGAGGTTATTTTTAACCAGTTAAACAACAAAGTCCAACTAACAACAACAAAGTCCGTCTGATCTAAAAAACAAACAAGCTAAAACCCCACATAGGTCTTTATTAGATCCGGGCCTTGGGAATCTGTTCTGATTAGCTGCATATATGCATATGTCAGCGTGCTTCATTCCTTTGGTATTTTCTGTTAGTTATGTTTGTAGCTGATGCTTCTATGTAACAAGTAAATATGTGCTTGTTAAATTAATTTCATTTTTGTAATCTAGTTTAATTTTTTCCCCCCAAATTTTATAAGTTAAAAAAAAATGAAGAAGAATTGATAAGATGTTTTCAGCCCTCTTGTTAACGGTAATGCTTTAATGGTTGAGGAAACAGTTTTCTCTCATGTTGAAGGAATGAGGGAAGATTATGGTTAGAGGTTGATTCCACATGTGGTTTAAGAACTCTACAATTTTTCATTTTTCATATGATTTCATTCAGTGTTTGCAATGGGGAAGTAGGAGGGTACTTTTTTTTGGTTTGGTTTAGTAATTCCCCAAAATAGAATTTGAAGCAGAAATAGCCACAGTTCTGTTGCTGTGGCCTGGCGCGTAAAGCTGAATTGGTGCTTTCTGTGCACTGGTTGTGATGGAAAGTGGCAGTCAAATGGCACGAATTCATTTAGTTCATTATGCTTGCTACAGATAAATTATAACAAGTGGAGAATGTAAATGCAAAATGGAATAGGAAAATAACAGATAATTCTCAATGGTGTACATCTAGTTTTAGATAAAGGCTCTGTATGGTAGCTCAGCAAGGAAGGCAAGTGGATGTAAGTTAAGCTTTAAATCTAGAGTAATTTTATAGACTAGTTTAAAGCTTTGCGTGTATGCATGGGGAATACAGAAAGAAAATCTGGAAATTCAACTAATATTTGAAAGGAATATTGACGTTCATATTTTACTTGAGAAGGGAAAAAAAGACAACAGTCAGTGCTGCCATCAGTTTGTTTCAGGTTTGGAGAAAGACTAAATATAGAATGGACTGTGCTTTGTTTGCCTTTTCTAGTATCATTCAGAAGAGCAGATAATGGTAAAATCTATTTAAGAACAGATTGAAAGGCAAGCCTTTCCAAAGGCTGTTGGATTTTGTTTGGTGTCACTGTCTCCTCTCTTCCTCCCTTCCAAATTCTGTACTTACAAATAGGAATTCATTATCTCTGCATGCACATATGGGTAGAGATTGCAAAGCATTTGGACGAAGGAGATGGTTGCCACACTGGAGATCAAAGAAAAATTTTCTGTTAATGAGTTTTCTCTAAAACGTTCATTGACAAACAAGCTTCATGAACTGTAGGTGTTTCTGCTGTTGTTGGCAAAGCTCAGGAAATACTGAATACACCCTCCTCAAAGTCTCCTGAAACATAAGAAATTCGTAAAGACTCAAATCCTCGTCCCACAAACATTTACGCAGTTGACCTACCTAAGGGCCACTCTCGTGCAAGTATTTAGAAGGCCTAGACTTTTGCTTTCTAGTCCAAAAAAAAAAAAAAGGATTATGTAGAGAAAAACGTGTGTTCAAGCCTCCTTAAGATATCTTGTTAATATATTAGTTGACAGCAACCCTGAGGAAACCGATGCATTTCAACAGTGAATCAGAGAGAGATTTTGGTTTCAGACCATGTTACTCACTTCAGCAAAGCGTATGTAGGAATGTGGCCAAAACATGTTCTGAAGCATCCAATTACATCTTTAACTTTGATTTTACTGTCTAACATAGCACAGAATAAGAAGTGTGCAAGTTCTGGGACCCTGTTGTTTATTTGTCACTTGAAGTATTTAGGTCAAGCACGGAGAACTTTGTGGTTACACCATTTGTGCTCAACAGGAAAAATACGCTGGTTTTGGGTCTTTTGCCTTTCATTTGTTATTCTGAAGACACACTAATTAATTGGACATGTAAATAAAATCTCTGCATTTTCTTTGAATACTAAAGCAAGAAAAAGCCTTATCCAATTGAGGAATTGCTATCACTCTAACAATAAATTAGTATGTTTGTGTGTCTTTGTTTACATTAACCCAAGTAATGTGACAGTAAGCTTGGGTTAGGACGGTAGCGTTACTTGTGATAGGGCCAGTTTGTTAGAATAAAGTGACCAATTTGAGATAAAATAATATTAACTCTTAACTCAATTTACCTGTCTGAGTCCAGAATATAAGGAAGCCTGGACTTTGAACAAGACTAAAGTCCTATAGCACAAGCGGCAGTAGTAAAATTCCACTTTGCTGAGTCTCTGCAGAATCTGTAGCTTGAACATTTCTGCAGATTGTACTGCTGCCTGCTATAAACTGTATTCCTTGATAGTCCAGCTTACTGAAGCCTACAGCACTCTTACAAGGGACTTTTGTGTGGATGGTGTTCAAACAGATGACAATGAAGTTATATTTGAAGATACTAGTGAAGATGAGCTCAAATGGTTAGACAGGTGTCTGACGTATGTATGCGTGTTTGTCTATAAGCATCTGCATAAGAAGTCCTTCTGTGTATCTGTTCATAGCACTGAGGTTGGTAGGATTTTTGGCTACAGGCTGAGCTGATAAGACAGGAAAAAACATGTTTCGAATCAGATCTCAACTAGTTTCCAAGTGGAACTTGAAAGGATTAAAGGTTTTGAGGAAGTTACTAAATATTTGAATCCAAACACGTATTGAACGTTTTTACAAGAAGTTGAGGGGTTTGATTGATATTTCACTTGTTAGCAAATCATGTTAGCATAATTAAATATTAAGTTTCTTTTTATTGCTCTTGACTGAGTTTTGAGGTGAGTTAATATAAAGTGCGGTAGTATAAAGTAATTCTCAAGGGGAACAGCAGTTTTCTTAACTCGCTTTTGAAGGGTTCTGTTGTGTTTTTTTATCACTGTTATGAGCAAATAAGGTAAGTTGCGAGTAAGAGGTGAGGCTTTGTGCTTGATTAGGGGGTACTTCAGCAATTTGATGTCGTAAAGTAGTTATTAAAACTTACACTATGGAGCATCGTAAGGAGTCTGTTCCTGGGAAGCTTTGAGTGCATCTTCATCGGAAAGGGAATTGAGGTTATTCGAGAAGGGATTTTTTTTTTTTTAGCATTTTGCAAGATTAACTTTGTGGTATGTAAATGAAGTCAATCTAGTATAATTATCTTTGACATGTTAAAATCTTCCTTCTAAATGCACAGAATAACTCTCACTGTACTCTTCTGTGTGATGCAGGTGATACTGGCCAAGGAGCAAGAACATGGATAAAACAAATTTTGAATCAAGACATGGCTTTCCAACATATAAGAGTAATTTACCCCACAGCTCCTGCCAGGTATTGTTTAGTATATTTTAACAGTAAGATTATGTTACCTTATTCCAGTGCTGTAAAATACACCTGTGAATATTGGTGTAGATCATCATGACACTTCCTTGCTCTTTCTCCATGTATATGTTTTTTGGCGAAACTGGAGCTCAGCAGTGCTTTGCTGCCCTGGGACTGTGATTCTAAATGGATAAAATTTCCTATAAGTCACATTTCTAATTCACATTCAAGGATTGTCCTCATACTCTCTCTCCATATGCTTATTGTAAAAAGAAGTTATGCCAAGGTGTTTTATAGCAGCATTATAAAGCCATATCCTGGATCACCATTCCGCCTATTAACTTCTGTAAATTAACCGATTAAATATTTTGCCGTATTTAGTGCCAGGCTTCAGTTCTGATAAGTGGTCAGTCTTTGTGACAGGGAGGATGCAAACCGCAAGAAAGGTCTTCAGCTGCTGGGGAGAGGATTGGGAATTAAAATTACACATTTCTTTTTCTTTTAGTTTGAATCCTGACCCAACTGTTCGAAAGAGAGTTGAGCTCAACATTCTCATCCCAGGGGGCTGTAGGCACAGATCTCGTTATTAAGTAACGTTGTGTGTTCAGTGGTATACTGGAAATTGAGATAAAAATATTTACCCTTGGGATTTTGAAAGTTAATGAGGTCAGATCTTAAAGGCAAAATTTGGGTACCTACCTGCGTGTTTGGCTGTCTAAAGACATGGCCTAATATTTCATAGATGTTTAATTTTTCTGAATTTTTTAAGGTGTCTGTCGTTGCAGGTGAGGAAATTGTTTCCTTTACAGGTGGTAGGACTTCAGTTTCTTTCTGAATTTGTGCTTAATTATGGATGTAAGTATTGTGCTGAAAAGAAGAGGAAATTATGACATTTGGCATAGACTTTCGAGGTACAGAGGTTTGAAAGTCAGAAAAAAACTTCTTGGAGCATGTAAACAACTGCAATAGCAGATTTTGTTTGGCAGTCACTTAATATGTGGAAAAAACTTGACCATATATTTTTATGATCTACTTAGGCAGGAAAAGCAATTGAGAGATTGTGGTGTGAATATAGTCACTATGCTGCAGAAAAATCATGCCTATGAGCAGAAGTCTTTGAAGAAGTTGCACTGTGTTGGGTCAGTAGGTAGTGAATATGATTTTCTGTCAATAACGTGCTGTTACTTCATTGACGATGGGCTAAAGCAATGGCTAGAATTATCAGCACATCACAGATCCACAGAGCCCGATTTCTTACCTATCGGAAGCAGATACTGGAGAAACGTTGAAAGTTTTGCTTCCCTTTGGAACCATCTTTCTTAACCTTTTATTAGCAGCCAAAGCACCTCAGATAGCGTCTGCCAGGCTGGTGCTTCACTTTTCCATTACACTGCACTTCTGGGGTCCACACTTGTTTGTTTATTTGTTTTTTTTAAAAATTATTATAGATATAAACTACATGTAGACGATTAACCAGCAAGGTCATCTGAGTAAAACAAGTGATGTTTGTGGGAAATTTGTTTTTAATTTAAGGCTGTGGATTTCAGTTCTTCAGTAAACAGACGTGAAGAAAGATACTGTTGTGATTAAAAGGTCTGAATAAACAGTTGACCCCCTCCCCCCTTTCTTTCTTTTCAAGAGCAGATTGAGGTCATGCATGATTTAATTCAAAAGTGGCTTTTAGCAAGGCTATGTGGAAATTTGAGCATTGAAAGAATAAAAAAATACCTGCACTGTGATTGTCTTTGACTGGCAATGGGAAGTACACTTAGGAATATTAGCATACACCCTTCTGTTGCTGATTAGTGCCGTTAGCTGACATACTGAAATAAAAACAGATGCTCTGAAGTACAATAACGTTTGCCACTGTTTGCCGCAATGCAGAAACAGTCTGTGAAGATAGGTGTTATTGGTTGGCATATAAATAGCAGAAACCTTTGCGACCAATGTTATTTTGATATTCAAGTCCAAAACATACTCTACTCTTTGAAAAATTTGTAATGGTTTCTCACCTTTCTTTCTCAGCAAAGACAAACAAGGCCCAGAACATCCAAACTTGAACAGCATTAAAATAATAAATTAGATATTTTAATAGACGATCTGATTTTATTTTATTTTTCCAAAGAATTCCAAATGCTTCTGGCACCAACAGAGGAAATCAGTGTCCTCAAAAATGGGACCTACAGGTAGAGAGTTGTAGATGTGCAGATATGTTGCAGAAGGTTCTGGTCCGGTCTTCAGTCATGGGGGGACAGAGGGATATGCCAGTGAAAAGCTGCACTCTCATGAGTGAGATTCTCTGTAGATGGCACACCCTGCCGCTGCATTGTCAATTATAAGAGCAGAGTGCAAAGCTTGCCAGCAGGTTTTGACATTGATGATGAAATCAAAGAAAAGCTCAAAGTTGGACAAGGCCATACTAGGATTGCTTGGCTTATGTGCTCTTCTGGCAAAATGCTGCTAATATAGATGTAGCTCATACTCTATAAACTGTCTTTTCCAGCATAGCTTACCACATACACATTAAACACACTCAGTAAAAGTAGTTATGCCAGTAAAAGCAAATTTGATGATACAACTGCAAGCTAGAGGCTTTGGCGGTCAGAAATTACATCTCTGCAGGTCAGAAATTACACCTCTTCACAGGTTTGACTGATAAAATTCTGCTGGTAATTTGATTGGCCTCATGCTGTTGATTGGCCTTATACTTTCTCTGACTCTACTAATAAAGAGCTCTGAAAAGCTGTGGAATTTGTACTTTTCAACGAAACATTAAAATTTTTGTTCTTTGTGCTGGCTGGGTGGGTTTTGTGTTTGGGTTTTGTTTTTTAAATTTTTTTCCATGCACTGAAATAATATGTATTTTTCATTTGCTGTAACACCAAACATGATTTGATTCAAAAGTCAATACATTTGAGAATTATTTGGGAAAACCAGCCTAGCATGTAATCGAGAAGAATTCCAAAACATGTTTTCTGCTTGGCTAGTACTGATTTCAGCAAATACTAGAGCTAACACTTTATTTCTATGTGTAAAGGCAATAGAATGTTACTGGATTACATCTTATAAAACTGGTTTGAACTATTCTCTCTAAGTCTCTCTTAAATGTTGTAGAAAATTCCTAAAAAAAAGAAAAAAATATTTTAATCCCCTTTTTAATGTACAGGGTCTGTGTAGAGAGTTATCACCAGCTGTCACCTGAACAGGTAGTGTATGCAGCGTTTTGTCATGCTCCCTTTTAAGTATTTCCAAAGCCCTAAGAGTCTCAGGTTTGCCTGTTTCCTTACTAAAAATAACACAATGCAGTTAGAAATTACACTATTTTTTTTAAAATATGGTCAATGACACTAAGTAAAATTTCGATGATAAAAAGGATGCTTGAATGAAAAAGGGAGAAATTTATGAGGTCTCAGTGTGGTGCAGTTGGGGCCAAATTTTGCCCAACTGAGTTACTTTGAAAACTTAAATTTTTAGATTTCTCTTCTCAGAGGCGATTTATTTTTTCTCTGGCAACTGGGACACGGAAAGTAAGCAGAGAATTCGTTTTATTCTAATAGGTTGTTCTTTTGAGTTTACCTAGTTGTATTTCCAGATCAGTGATACTACACATAGATTTAAGTTGTTAAATACAGCTAAACTCATGTTTCTTCCCCATTGTAATTTTAATGTATATGTTCTAATTAAAAAGGAGAAATTCAAATTGTTGTCCTGGTAGCTGATGCAATCCTTAAAGCCACGTCTTCAGTAACAGTTTTGAAGGAGAGGGTTTCCTTTTTTTTTTTTTTTTCCCTTTTTTATTTGGGTCAGGATGGCTACAGCTTTAAATACTGTTTCAGCTGCTACAACTGTGACTTAAGCAGTCGGTTTCTACTGAGTTTCTAAATCAGAACTGAATACTACCCAATATAGACGTTTTTAATAGAAAATGATAGTTTAAATTGGCATTGCAGGAGCTAACGTGGTAAAGTAAAAACATTTAGGCTCCGCTTGTTTTAATAAGTATACCTTACCTTTTATAATTCCCTTAAAAATCTAGGTCAAAGATTCTTTGCATTGTCTAGCATTCCACTCTGATAGTCTTTCTCTTCTGCAAGTCAGAAAGTAAGCTATAAATACTGCTTGGGCCGTTTTGTAGATCTTTTTGACGTTCACTCAGCGTACTTTTCCATGGCCGGTAGGTCTCTCTGCAGAGTTTGTTGCCTATTTTTTTCAGTATATTCTAACTTTCATGGTCTATAGGATATAAGGCTGGTAAGGACTGTTCAGCGTTGTGTGCACTGGTACTCCATCCTTTCATCTGAGTTCACATTGTTGCTTTGCTCCCGAGTGGAAATGAGTTTCATCTCAATGTAGTCCCCATTTGGCCATATCACAAAACCACGAGACGGTTTGGCACCATTCAGCTACATTGGCAGTTTCTACTCATGAGAGGCCTAGAACTGGAAAAGCAGCAGAGGTACTGTAGGTCAGACTTGAGATGGATTGGCAGAGCTGCGTAGGGGAGCGTGCATAGTGCCTATCATACTATGTTTGGCTCAGGCAAATGTTATTAATCCTTCACTTTTGTGAGCCCTAACTTCATTCACAAATTTAGCACAAAGAAGGCTTTTTAGAAGAGGAATTTTGAGGGATAAAGGGAAAGGGGTTTTGTTGGTATCATGGGGTTGTTCTTAAGTCTGTTCCCGCTAGTAGAAATATAGCATATTCTGCATAAAAATGATGAAAGCCTGTTTGGAGGAACTGTATTTTCATTTTTATTTATTTTCTTGCATTACGTAAGGAATATATATATTCAGACAAACATGTAATGCTTACATTATATACTAAATACCATGCAGAATGCACTAAGCCTGTGTCAGAGATGCTTGACATTTGCTACGACATGCTTGGGGGATACAAGTTAGAGTAAAATGGCAATGATCTTGGACTGTTAATCGCTTTAACTACCTCGTACTCTTAGATATCCTTCCTCTCCCTTTTCATCTCTCAGCCTTTATTTAGTGCAGAAGAATTGGAAACAGTATTTTTTGTATAGCCCCTCCAGCAAGCGTTTGTGGGGTTCTAAGTTACATTTCATCCTGTGCCCTTGCTTTACATTCTTCTAGTTGGAAGTGTCCAAGTTTTCAGTTTTGCTGTGCTTAGCCAGTGTAGTTCATCCATCCTCAATGCTATTTGTCGCCAGCTTGTGAAGGATACAGCTCTGAATCCGAGAGTGCCTTTCAGACTCCTTAATGGAATACTAATTCAATTTGACCCCTGGTTTACCACTTGCTGTTTTCTTTCACTGAATTTATGAAGCAGCCACTAATAGCTATGAGCAACCTTAGCTAAGGGTTTGGCAGTGTGTGGCAAAGGTCATTTGCAGGCTGCACAACCGTAGCATTATTGCTGTTTCTCTGATTAATAAAACAGTCCCTACAACTGACCTCCCCCCTCCAAAGAAACAAAACAAAACTAGAAACAAACTCTAGCATAAAGCTCTGTGGGTCAAATTCTGCTTCTCTTGCAGCTTCCTTTGTCTTAAGATGGAGAAGATTTGTCCCAAGTAACAAAAGCCACAGACGTATTATTTCTTCAGGTAACTATTCTGTATTGGTTCCATTAGTCTCATTTCAGATGATGTAATCCAGAACAACTCCACTAAAGTCATTTGTGTTTACACTGATGTGGCTGAGTGCACAGACCCGGTATGTTCCATGGGACAACCGGAATTATTCCTCACAGAAATGACTGTTCCCGTCCTTTTGTTTTCTCTAAGTACGTTTTCAAGTTTACCTTGGATTCCTGATGCGTCTTATGCTGCCTGTGTGTTACCGTACCGCAAAGCTTCATAGTCAAGCTGCATTGAACCTCACTTTTAACACAAGATATGCTTTGGACTACAGAATTTTGAATTATGCTTCTGATTTGAAAAGGTGAATTCTCTTCTCCCTCTCTTTTTTTTTTTTTTTGATTCACTTTCTGTTTCAAGTAGACAATGGGAATTGAAAGGCAGAATTATGGACCAGATTTTCTGTTGTGGTGTACTAGTGTTGGCAGTGAGCATTCTCACTAGCAGAGAATTTGAGACTAGTGAGTAAATTTACTTTCTTTGGAAAAACTGCCATCAGTTTTAGTACAGTCACGACTAGATTCTAGAACTTGAGTCATCTTCTGGCAGTGTGCATTGCAGGTTTCCTCAAAGGGCTGCATAGACCTGCAAAAGACAACATTAGAATGTCTTATTTAACTTCATGCCTTTTATTTGAAAGGAGGTGGATCTGGGAAAGCAGCAAAAGTGGCAGTTTCATGACTTTTGAAGTATTTTTCTCTATTTAAATCCTGAAGCCTGGCTTCACTGCAAATTCCCAGTTCTATCTGACATCTCAAGAAGATCTCACTGAAACTCCAAGAAAGCTGTAAGCCAGCAGCACCAGTGGTGTGGGTATTTTAGGTGACGTTATCAGCGGAGGGATTATAGTGCTGAGTGTAAAGGCAGTGATATAATTGTGTATCAGGAGCAAAAGTGGGGGAAGAATATTTTCTGTGTATCAACATGCTGACTGCTGCTCTGATGTTTCTTATTTAAAGCAGCTAATAGTCTTACTGGCCTATCCTTTTAGGTCATCTTTTAAGGTAAAGGTTGGAAAGGGACAGTGATTTATTGGATAATCAACAAAACACCTGTAGTTTTAAGTCAATTGCTATACTGATAAAATCATTTTAGAAATGAAATTTTGCATGTTTTTTAGATCTGAATTTGAACTTTACATGGCATCGTTCAGATGTTCTCCATTTATGTTAACTTAGGGTCATTTCAAACTGTTTAACACAATTCTAAACATGTATAAGAAGGTCTAAGAGTGCATTTTCCATGCTTCAGGAGGGTGGAAAAAGATGTAGACATTGTTATATGCTTTCAGTGTATTTTTGATGTTAGTATATAGTTACTTACATTGGCAGGGGCTGACCTGTCTTTATTCTGTTAAAATGTGAATGCTCTGTGTTATTTTGGAACTTTGCCGTGAAATCTGTAGTAAAAAACTTACTTTTGTATTTGAATACAGGTGTGAAAGGAGGAAAGGATGATGCATGCTTACATGATATATTCTCTTTTTGAAGACATTTAGGTAATGAGCTCTGTTGGATCTTTCTGAGACTGTGGCTTCGTAGGCTCAGTCCTTCAAGAAGTATTTTTATGAGGAAACCGTTACAGATCAGTACGCACCCTAAAGAAACAAGACCTATAAAGTAATCAGAAAAAAAAGATCTGGAGTGATACTGAGGATGTTTGGGAAGCTTTTTAAAGGTTTTAACCAGTAGGGTGCCTGGAGTTTCTCCATACTGACTGCTACCCTCTCTTTTCTCTTTGTTTTTACATGTTTTGAGTCAGTTCAACTTGCAGGAAGTTGCATTTCAGATATCTTAAAAACGGATACAAGTTTGGAAAGTGGATATACCTGAAGTGAGGATTCCTGTTCTCTTGTATGAGTTTGAGTCTTTTATGTGCTAGAGGCTTTAAAAAAAAAAAAAAAAAAAAGCTCCTTCCCTGCGTTTTTTGGTTTGGCTATATATTTATATTCAGAGTTTCAACAGCACAGGTTTTAGAGACATGGAACTTTATTTTTAATATCATTAAAAAGACAATACAGAAAGTGAACCACACAAAAAATTAATTAGGACTAGCATTAGGATTTTTTTTTTTAACTTAGGAAAGCAAGAAATCCAAACTTAAGGCAGACAAAAAGGCACTGTCCTTAACTGACCATGCTGAGCTTACTGGAAGGAGTTTTCACTCCACTCTGTGTTCCTTTCCTTTTGTGTATTTCAGTCCAGCCCTTCATGTCACTGTAACATCGGGATTTTCTTTTTCTTTTGTGGTTTAATTGTATGAAAAAATTTTGTGCTGTATTCTTGGAGCTGTACAGATGGTTCCATGCCAAACATATTTGTTTACCGTGGTAATGTCTGAGTTGTAGTATGCCAGCTAATAAAGGGATTTATTTAAGGAACAAGGTGAATGACTAAAACAGATGTGCCAGTTGGGTGAACCATTAAAAGAATCTTACTTCTCAGCTTTATGTAGAAGTTATTTTTAATGCATTTCTGAGAAATCAGATGTGGTTGCAAGGATGTTTTTCAGACAGCTAAAAGCATCTTGTCTGTTTGCTTGGGGGTCTTTTCCTTCGGGCCTACACGTTAGCCTTTCACCTGTGGCACTGGAGAATTTGCAGAGAGGGTGGGTAAAAGTCCTGATTTTTGACATCTAATAAAGTATTACAATCTCATCATGGATTTTGTCCTTATTCTAAATTGTACACTTTAGTTCTATCATTCAGTTGTGAGAAAATCCGTTTTAATATTTCTTTAATGTCTTGTGTTCATTTCACACAAATGTGTATCATCAGTCCATGGAAATACTAAGCCAACCTGATGTAATAATACTGAAACCCCATGTATCTTTTCTCAAACAAAGGTACATTACTCTATTGTTACTAGAAAATAAAACATTCTGGCTGCTAAGTGTTTTTACAGGGAGATTGATGTAAAGGTATTTGAGAGACTACAACTACAACTTTGAATTAAATGTTATTTGTCCAAGTGGTTAGTCCATTGTACATCCCATCACCCAAGTGACTTCCAGAGACTCCTTTGGTTCCGCAGTTGTTGGGATTTTTTGTCTGGAATGTCTCCTTTTACAAATTGGAAAAACTTCCACGTGTTAGAGATTTGTAATCTTCTTCATTAGGTGTTGATCATTTCACTTGGGAAGAATCCTGGAGAGATTGGTAGCACGAAGGAGAAGCAAAAAAAATTTTTTTTATAATATTTCCTTAAATTTGGCTTCAGCTTTTTGGGTGTATGAAATATTTCCACTGAATTTCCTTTAATTTAGTAGTTATCATCTTTTAATAGACAGGTAAAGGCTAATTTGGAAAAAAAAAAAGTGTTACTCTTAATTCCGCTGCTTAAGTACGTCTTAGTTTTGAATTAAGCAAATAAGGGAAAATGGTAGTGCATTGTGTGCCTTAAGCTGGCCACATACTTATATGCTGTTTTGAGTAATAGTGGATAGTTTCAGTTTTACATAGTCTTTCCTGAAACAGTTCCCAAATATGTGGAAAAGTGTAATTTATCTGTCTGTTACCATTTATTTTCTTTTTCTTTATAGTTGGTTTATCAGCTTCTAAGTCATGGGCCATATTTATTTCACATTCATAGCACCTAGCAGAAGAAGAATCTGTGTTTGGTCATTTTTGACCTGTGTAAGTGAGTAAATGCAAATAGCATACTGCATGTTGTACCCTCCTAATAATGGCAGTATTTCTGGTTTAGAAATAGAGCTTTACATATGTGAAACTTCTCGGGTATCAGTAAAGGCAGAATTTGTTCCTTCATTGAGAATAATTGCAATAGCGGCTTTCTTTTTTTAGGTTATTGTTTAAGTTATATGTTATATGTTTAAGTTTAATCTTAGTAGTGAAAAAATCCAGTGAGAGAGCAGAAGTCAACGTTTGCATTTTCACTGAGTTGCCATCCAGACAAATTTATCAAAGGCTGTCTGTTTGTAGGCAACGATTGTAATCTGATCTGAGCTCATCTGAGCTTAAGTTAAAATGAAAAATGTGTCCCCTGATTAAACAGAGCAATTAAGGATTTTAGGAGGCTTGGTTTTGAGAGGAAGCATCGATCTCAAAGCAATATGTTTGGTATTGAATTGTGGAACCATTGCAAGGCAGTTAGATCACCTTTCTTAGGATTTCAGGGCTCTATTCGTCTTCTTTATTTTAAAAAGAAAAAGCTGCTTTGAATTGTAATTTCCTTGATTATTTGAGGTACGGGCAGCATGTTAAGGCACTTAAGATACTAATCTGACAACATAGTATTGTGGGGGAAAAAGTATCATTATGTCTCTAATTTTAGTGTCTGCACACCAACCCAGTGAACACACGGCATTTATTTCAGTTATTTTTGAGATACATACCTCATTAAGGTGAGGATTGCTGTATATATGTAAGGAAAAAAAAGATTGACAGAAGGCAGATATTTTTGTAACTAGTCAGAGGTTCACCATACACAATTCCTGTCAGTTTCAACAAGAATAAGACAACTAAATCCAATAAAGCTAGCTCCTTGAAAGCCTTCTTATTTGGCAGTTAACTCCAGTTTGCCCTATTCCCAGGTGAGTTTCAACCTTGACTTTGTTTAGGATTAAGAATCTCTTGGCAAGGTTGGGATTCCAAACAGTTAGCTGAACTGTTCAACCTTGAAGTTGAAGTGACTGAACTGACTGAAACTTACATTTTATCTAGCGTCCAAATGCTGTTGCCATTCTTGAAGGACAATCTTTGGAATGCAAGAGGTGAATTGAATTAGAATTGATAGAGGTTGATCTCTCCTTTACTGAACAGATACTGCATTGTTTTTATTTATCTTAGGCATGCCGAAGGCTTTTGATCTTACTCATGGTTAATCATTTGGATTTTTTTCCTTCTGCCATCCCAGGCCATATACACCTATGAAAGGAGCCCTTTCCACTGTGTGGTTTGACAGATACAAGATCTCCAATGACTGTCCAGAACACATTGAAACTATTGATGCTATGTGCCGTGGACTTACGGACTTGATCAATGATGAGATTAAAAATGGCATCACAAAGAATAGGATACTAGTAGGTGAGAAAGACTTATGTTTTGGTTTATTTTAATGTTTCTAATCAATCAGAGATCATGTGCTTTGAATTTACTCTGTTCTGAAAACATATGAGCAACTCCTGCAACTGCTGAGCCATCCCTTCACCAACAGATTCTCAAAAATATTGAATTCTTATCTAAACCTTCGTCTAGTGAGGAACGTGGCAACCAGCAAGCAGTATTCTCAAAAATGTAATTTAAAATTGTTTTTGTTGTGAATTGGTCATTTGTAGTTGTAATCTAAAATGCATGATGAGCCATGTTTTACTTTAAAAAACATGTACTTCTTTGCTGATTGCTTTTTAGCCTTCTTGGCGGATAGTAAAACATGCATGCCCAAAAATATTTGTATTTCTGAAAGTGCATATATAGCATGTAAGTAATCATGGGCTTTTCCTTTCTGCTATAATACTTTGGGATAAATTAATTCATGAGGAAACAATGATCTGTGTGTTAAACATCACTACAGATTAGCACTTGGTAATAAATGACCTGTTAGCCATCGTATTTTATGTGTGTCTGTCTTCCCATCCATCTTAATTTCCACAATTTCCAGCAGCTTTAACAGTACTTCTTGTGAAACAGATAGTGGGAAATTGAGGCACAGGGATTGAGGCCAAAGGAGCGGCCTGTGTCAGAGAGGGAACGCGAATTAAGGAGTCCTTGGCTCCCTGTCCCGTTCCTAGACCGCAAAGTATTTCAGGTTGGAGAAAAACTTTTAATGTGGGAACTTTTGAATTTATGGCCAACTAAGTCATGTCATCAACCTCCTGAGTGGTGGAGCCACTACCGTTCAGCTAGCGTGTTTTCTTGGTCCAGCCCCATGTTGTTCTTTGAAGGCCTCTGTTTACTTTCCCTTTCTGGCTCATTGCCCTGGCTGCAGAATGCATTGTTTTGGATGGCTGTCAGCATAGTCCCTTTGATCTGACTTTCCTGTGTTATACCTGCAGGCTTGGAAACAGCTGCAGCGGAGCAGGTGCTTTCTGTAGGATTAGCTGGGAGATGTTCTATTTACAGATCCACTCTGCTAATAGGCTTTTTTCTTTTTTCTTTTTTTTTTTTTTTTGCCTTTCACTGCAGCTTTCAAAATTAAAAGTAGTGAGACTGCAGAGTGTGGAAGTTGCTTTACAAATTGCGAATAGAGCAAGGAAATTGATTTGCACCAGTTCCAGTTCGTAGATAATTTGGAAATGCCCATCTCTGTACCTAAATTCCTCAATTGCAAATCAGGAATAATGATACTTATTTTGTTCCTCTTAAGAGCTTTAGTTTCAGGCTTCTTGAGAAAGGTGCTGTTTCTTTGTTTCTGTGATATATGCTACATGCATACAGATAGCATCCTCACAGTTGAATCTAATATTAATGTAACAAACATAACAAAATTAGGCAACCCTGAATTGTCTCCATCCAAAGTGCAGGAGGATCTGGATGCATAAGAAGTCTGGTAGAGGCAATCTAAGTGTATCATCTATGTCTACACAAGATTAAGTGCTCTTCTATGAGGACTTTGTGCTTTCCCTGCGCTAGTTTTGATGATTAACCATGATATTATGCAACGGAGAACGAAGCTCAGAGATCCTGTGAGGTTTCTGTTTGTAAAGATTGATTTTAGTATCAATCTGAATCAGCATAATGTGACGTTCTTAATTATTGTAGATGGGACTTTGTAAATACTTGCCCGTCTGTTGGCATTGTTTCTTACAGAAAGTAAGAAATTCTGTAAAGGCACATCACAGCTTTATAACTTTTTTGGTTGAACGAGTAACACAAGGTTGAGGTTTCGTTTTTAAGATGTAGGCAGTGTTTCTGTCCCAAACTGTGAAGTCCATTGGAAGAGGAGAAATGGGTGGCCTAGGATTTTTCTGAGTTTGTGGAAGATTGGTGTGCTGGGGATCTTGTTAGATTTCTCTTTTAAAAGTCAGGAACATCCATCAAGAAGAGTCTTGAGGTAATCAGGTAGGGAGCAGACAGCGGATTTGTGAATGCCTATACAGGAAAGCTAGAGGAGGCAGCCTTTTTGAGAGGAAGGGAAAAATAAGATAATTATAGCAGAGGGAGTCACAGTGGAGTGTTGCTGTGAATATTTCCCCAGTATGTTTAATGATGATGAGTAGTGTTGGAGATCCGTGTTACAAACACATAGCTTATTGTACGTATCTACATAATGGGTACACCGCTTATTGTGGCAAAAAGAAACAAAGGAGTTGGGAGAAGAGGTTGGAGGTCTTAGAATTCTGTGAAGGACAGTCGGAGGCCTTTTTGGATAAGTCACAGAAACTGAGAGAACAGTTGCATGAATGAGGATTTACAGGGAATGAGATGGATTATTAAAGAGTTAAGGAGGACCATGTTGTGGGGCTGTCTATTCTGCAATGAGTGGGAGTTTTACTGAGTAGAAAAAAAAAACACAAAATGAGCGTAACAAAATTGAAGGTTTTGATTTTATATGGAATACTCGAGCAGAAATTACAGACTGAGGATGAGTGTCAGATATTGTTAGGTGAAGGAAAACTAGGTGTTAAGCGAGCAAGAAGGTGGGTAGCTGCTGACAGCTCTGAGGTGTGGGATAAGAAGGCAAGATCTGAGGGAGCACTGTGCAAAGTAGAGCAGGAAGGAAGGGGAAGCAGGAGTAGGCACTCAAGCATTGGAAAATGAGAAGCCCTGCACCTGGTGGGGGATGATTCTCTGCCTTCAAACTTTCTGCCAGGCTGAGGATTGTGGGTACAGTAAGATCATTTGTTCTAAGAGACACTGGAGCCTGCGCTGTTTTTTTTGGTAGCATAATTAGCTCTGAAATCCAAAAGTGGCTGTTTATAGAACAGAACTCTGAGGGTGGAGGGTGAGGGTGGAGCGTAGGTTGTGTGATGCCACTCCTTTTCTTTATCAGAAAAAAATACTGGAGCAGCTTCATTTTTAAGAGCTGCTCTGTGAATCTGCAACTAAGTATCTTAATTCACTGGCACCGATGAAGTCCATTTTTAAAACCTCCCTCTGAATTC